GTATTTTTAAGAAAGTAATCTAAATAACTCAACTATTTGTATTAAGCTTTTAATAGTAAAATATATTAGAAGATCCGGTATTATAATTTCTTATTTAAAGAAGAAAATATAGAGGCCTGGATAATATAGCTGAATCCGAATAAGCAGGGCCTCTTATCTCGACTACTTAGCTATAAAGATCTAGTAAATATACTAGATAGTTTCCTTTCCTTTTCTGGGCTATAGAATAACCTTTACCTTAGTAGTATCTATAAAGATTTTATTATATATTATAATAAAGAAATAATCTATTATTTAGGGTATATTTATACTATATAGAATATAGTAATATTAGAAGAACCAGATATCCGAAAGACTTTAGATATTTAGATTATTAAAAATCTGTATTTGCAAGCCCCTTCTACTAGTATTATAGACTACTATTATATTAATTAGTATATAGATTATCTATCTAACCAAAGCGGTCTCTTTCCCGAAGTGAAAAATAGGGCAAAGAGAAACTTAATTAAGTAAGTATACTTATATCTTAAAGTTTTTATTCTAATAATTAAGGCTTTCTATAAGAACTATATCTATTTTTATATAGAAGCAAATATTTTCTAGACCCTTTTCCTTAATAAAAGACCAAAGTTAACCTATAAGGCCATATATACTTACTAAATAGTATCTGAAATAACCGTAAAGAAATTTCGAGAAAAGAAGTTCAGGGATATTACCCTTAAGCAGCTAGATATAGCTGCTCGGTTTATTTTATATAGGTATTTCTTACTATATTCCGGTAGTTCCCAAACCTTAGCAAGTATATTTCGCTTATAGAGCAAGGCTTCAAAAAGCGAAAATAGAACTCTAATTATCCTATTAGGGTTATATCTGGGTTAGAGAACCCTGCTTATAAAGCTTAGTTTTTAAGGTATACTCGCTTACTCGGTTTCGGAATAAAGAAGATAGAGGATAGGTTAAGAGAGGTTAAAGACCTAATAGTAGAAATTCCCGAGCCTTTAGAAAATAATAATAATAAGATTATTAAATAGAGAAGTAGTATACTATATATAAATATATATAAATAGTTTTGAATATAACTCTTCCTACTAAACCTCTATTAGATCTATACCGGATCTGGTCTTAACCTGTCCGTTATATTTGTCTAGCGGAACCTATTTAATATATTCTTTAGCTGGGTACCTGGTAGCCAAGACTTTGCTTTATTAGCTGTATTAACTACTCTCTCTAAGCTAGTAGTGCCTCTAAAATATATATTACCAGAACTTATATTGCCTTATAGACCCGATATGGCAGTAACTTCTAAATAAACGGCATTTGTTAGATAGTAAGCTAGAGACCTTACTAATAGTTTTTTTATATAAGTTAGTAGTATCTCCTTAATTATTAAAATTATCTGAATATATACTAGTAATATTGCCCTAACTAAGGGCAAGCTCGGAATTATTATAGAGAATAGAAAGGTATTAGAGCTAGTTCAGCCTCCCGGCCATAGATAAGGGTAACTCGGAAGGCGAAGGTAATAAGCTATAGAACTAGAAGAAATATAGCTTGGCAAGTATATCGGATAACTATTAGTTATTTCCGGTACCAGAATTAAGGAATAAGGATAACGAATACTGATTATCTCCTATAGCTACCTTATAAGATATAGATATTTGAAGCCCGGCCTTAATAGTTAATTCAGGCCGCTAGTCCTTCTATAAGATCGAGTTCCGAGATAGAGGCTTGTGAGATAAGTAGTAGTTATTTCCTGAACCTGAACTAACGGATAGAGAAGATAAACCCTAATTATTCCCGGCTATAGAGTTATAAGATATAAACATTTCAAGTATAGCCTTAACTAATACTTTAGGGCAATAGTCCGAACTATTAGATAGATGCCGATTATTTCCTATACTTGAGGCCCAGTCGGTATTTTTAGGGGATATAGTAGAATGCCGCTTATTTCCTATACCTAAGCTATATAACTATAATATATCCGGACCAAATAATACTATTAAGGCCCCGAGGCAAGAGGTATTAATTTAATATATCCGACTATTTATATTTACAGAATGTAATGGGATAATAATAAAAGAAAAGTCAATAACTAATATAGAGAAATATTTAAGAGAGTAAGAAGAGTAGGTAATAATGGTTTTGAAATAGAGTAATATCCTTAAGACTATTAGGTTTAATGAAATTGTGAAATATATAATATTAGTAGATAATAAGGTAAGGCTAAGAAAGTACTTCTTAATTTAATATTACTATATGGAATATTTCCGTAAGAAGTATATAAACAATCTATAGTCTATATAAAAGAATAGCAGGAATATAGAGCAGAAAAAAAAAGGAACTTACTATATTCCCACTCTTATCCTTTTATAAAATATGAAATTTCTAATTATAACCTATAATTATCTAGCCCAAAAATAGAGGCAACTCTTCCTTTCTTCCAAGATCTCTTCTGCTATTATTTCTACCAAGTGTTTATAACCTATACAGCCGCTCTAATTCTGTAGTATACCAAATTCCCAGCTATATAATTGCCTTATTATAATTCCCTCCCTATTCTTTAATCTCTAGATAGCAAACTAGCGGCACTATACTTATATAAGCGTCCGTTATCTGGCTAAGAGCTATACCTGGGTTTACTCTATAGACAGGCTCGATAGCCGCTGCAATAATCGGGTAGTTAGAGGAGAAGGCAAGTATAAGGTCCGCTTTCTTTGCAAAGAACTGGAATACATACTGGAAAAGGAAGGCAGGGTTAATGGATTATATCTGGATACTATGAATATATAGTATAGAGGAATCTTGGCCAAGCTCTATAGATTCGAGAATGTTATTTACGACTTTTATTCATACACTCTCGTTAAGGTAATTATTATAGTAGCGGCAAGCTTTATTATATATCTTGTCTGTTACTTGCCAGAGGGTATTAGTATATGAGGTTGGGTGTATAACCGTTAGATCTTCGAAGAGTTGGCTATATGCTCCGAATGATTCGAATCCTTCGGCCTGGTCGGGATCTGCGGCTTGGAGTCGAGTCTGCACCGGATTAGTAATGAATAGGAAGAATTGAAAGAAAATACATATCTCGAGACTGCGAGGAATTACTTCACTCGATAACCTCATTATGAGCATGCTTCTTAGCCACCTCACCGCAGGCGGCTGTTCCAGTCTGACATCAGGCTGGCAGACTCGCAACGACGGTGTTGCCAATTTAATTGACTCAGTACTTTGCGCGTCGGGCTGGGGGAGCGCTGGCGAGTTGATGGCGGCGTTGGGTACAAGATGGGCCGGTTTTGAAAGGATGTGGCAGATGCGGTTGTCCCTCTCGTCCTCGTCGTTTCCCCACTCGTAGTCGAGGCCGTGTCACTGTTCATGCTTCTCTTTCGCTTTACCACCCGTGTTCTGCTGCGTAACCCCAGTTCCCCTTTCCCATAGCGGAGAAGTTCACGCATGAACATGGGATACAGGAAGGGCTCCCCCACGCTTAGCCTCGTCTAGGGAGAGGATGCTCGAGGTCTTCTCAGTGTGGAAGCAGAAGCCGCATTCGTAGTTGCATTTGCGGGAGAAGTGGTGGTTGACCGACACCGGAGTTTCGGATGTGCTTATTTGCTGAAGTTGATAGAGGTAGTATAAGAGGTAGGCAGCACAACCGACAATGCAGGAAGCACCCATGAGACTAGTGACGATTGGATTGCTGAAGAGAAGTGAAGACAGCATGGTGAAGGTTGTTTTCTGTAGTAATTTCAAAGGGAATGTTTTCAATCATCAAGAATCACCTCGTCAATCTCCTGCCAATGAGTGACTGGTCTCTGTTGAGTGTTGGCTTGTACCGTGCGCATGGCTACTCAAGTGTGCTCAGTCATTCTAATGCACCTGGTCGTAGGAGGTGTTGAAGTCGTGAGCTTATGAAGTCGTGAGCTTATGAAGTCGTGAGCTTATGAAGTCGTGAGCTTATGAAGTCGTGAGCTTATGAAGTCGTGAGCTTATGAAGTCGTGAGCTTATGAAGTCGTGAGCTTGTTAAGGTGTGGAGCTAGTATAGCAAGACTGTAATCCAGGCGCAAGCTATGGAAAAGCTTGCTCCGCTTCCCAGAGACCCGTGCGGCTCGGCACGCTTCTGGGTTCCGAGCTCCTTCGTCTGTGTAACCCCACAATGTATGGGGAAAGGTAACAAACTGCCACGTAGACTGCTGATGCATCCGCCTCAAAGACCAAGCATCTCTCACGAACACGTGCAGACGAATCGGATTCTTGCCATGGCTCCACATTAGGACGAACATCATGCACGATACTGTAGACACAGTAGGGCTCACGCCAATGTCTCATCTCCACGACTACTGCTGCTGGAGGCCTCCTGCTGCTGCACCAAATCGAACGAAGACGAGACGATCGACTCTCTCGATAGGTTGCGGCCGAATGACTAATACGAAAGAGATCTTGAAGTGTATGTCTGTCTGCAATGCTCATTCAATAAGGCCTTCTCTAATCGGACGATTCGTTACATGAGATTACTTTTTAGTCTATCAAAACATTAATTTTCAGATCTACAATCTTTGAACAAACTATGCCAGCTCCGCCGAGCCCACATCAACGAGAGGATTACGGACCCTGACTGTGTGTAAACTCCGGTCCACTTCAGGTACAGTAAGAGCACTTCAACAACCATGCCCTCGCAAATCTCCATCATCTTCGTCCTCGGTAGGTTCTCTATCCTCCCCCACTAAGTATACCGAGCCTCAAGATTCTAAGTCGTCTCCAACAGGTCCCCCTGGAGCCGGCAAAAGTACTCTAAGCGCCCTTCTCGTAGAGAATTTTCCCGTGCAACACATCTCGGCCGCCGATCTCCTACGGCGCATTATCAAGAATGACACTACCCATCCCCAAGCAGGAGTCCTCGCATCACTGTCCTAAAGAGATCGCAAAACAACGCTATCTCACGCGCAACTTGAAAGGGCGGGAGGCGGATGACGAGGCAATGTTCGAGAAACGATATGAGGAGTATATGCAAGAGAATGAGGATATGAGGCGGATATCAGCCAGCCTGACGTGCCCTGTCGCCGTTTAAAACCCAATACACCCTACTTTCCAGCTCCTATTGTCCTCAACCTTTCTACCCCCTCGGAATTCATTCTGCGCTCACCAATCGAAATGGACGAGATTCGCGCCCCAGCCCAGGCGATTCTGAGACAGCCACGCAAGATCTACATTGACCAAGAGCAACAGCCACAAATCTTACCATTCCGGCACCATGGCCAACCTCGTCGTCGGGAATGGGAACAGCGCGAGTATCCTGATCCGATGTGGGGAGCTAGGCTTCTAGCAATCTTCAAACTAGAAATGCCGAAGCCGAACTACTCTCATCCCTTGCCTCTCTTTAATACTCAGCCCACTCAGTACTCCCTATCAATGGAAAATATCGCGCTTAACACTCTGGGCCCAACTCTACAGAATGTTCGTGTTCGTCGCCGCAATACACCGGCGTATCAGATGATCCAAGGTACAGGGGCCATGAATCAAAGAGCAGAGGCTGCCGGGAGAGATTCAGGGGTTACCGCCAAAAACCGGAGACTGAATATATTGGACCCCCGAAAAGCAAGTCATGAGAGACGCAAGAGAGAACTATTAGAAATCTTGGAGCCGGTTCTTGGCTCGGATGATTCGGATTCATCTTCCATCTTCCTCTGCTGGGGTAAAGATAATCGCTGTCATATCGTTCCCGTTAAAATTCCAAATTCAGCCGACGACGTGACTGTATGGCAAGAAATTCGTCGAGTGTGGTATGCACACAGAGGGGGCTGGAGAAAGCGCCTAAATCTGTTCGGTGTTAGGGAAGTGGGTATTGTTGAGGTTCGTCGCATGCAAAGTGGGTGGAAATTGGCTGTAAGTGTTACTGACAGGTATCTCAAGATTTCAATCGCAGGACGAGAGTTGAAATGCAAGCAGCAAACAAAGCATAAGAGGTTTGTTGGCACTTATACCACCGAGGACTTGGCCGCCGAAAAAGGACGACTCGAACAGATCATTGCCAGTTACGATCCCCAGGAGTTCCCTTGCCCGTATAATCCGTCTACAGGCCAAGTGAACTGTTTTAGCAGTTGCATATCCTATAAACTAGATGGAATAATATGCCCGGAGCGGACGTTATATCAGGCATAAAGGGAACTCTCACGCCTCAATATGCGACCATTCCTAACTCTAGCCTTCTCCGACCCAGGTATTGCTGCGGTAAATGGCTTGCTCGACGTAGAAGGTGTCATCAACAGCCACTTGTAAGTGGTTGAGCCGAATTATGGCTGTGACGAGTGGATTGGAAGCTGACCATGATTATGATAGGGATATTTTGTCGAAGCTTGAGAGATGGCACTGCCCAAAACTGGGGGAGCTCCAGTTCCGAGCACTAATCATCGATGAAGACCGGATGCCTGGTTCGCAGCACGTGGTCTTGCCCTTGACGATAACGGTGATTTTTCTGATAGTGGTTGGTGCCAAGCTTGCCTACGGTGACTGGGGGACGGCTTGGAATGTTGGCTGCTTTCTCGTCGCATTGGCAACGCTCTTTTGGATGTGGCTTAACCATACTGTCGACTGATGGACTCAGGAAGGGAGTCCTTTCTTGGCGAGGCACAGGGGCAGATTACGAGACATTCTCTAGAATTTTCTATCATAATGAGAATTGTCCGTGCTTGGCATGGTGAACGGGGATTGTTGGGATCCCTGCTGTGATGACCGAAGAATTAGAATTTGCTTGGTATTGTAGCATCGGAATATTCGTGTTGGGCTAGATTCCGACAGGTGAATGATGTAGTTTTCGTGCTTGAAAAAATGGAGTGGGCCCCCGGCGTTGGCATTTGTCACTTCTCTTGTGATCACGGTGTATGTCAGGCTGAAGAGAGATAATCAAAGGATATTGTGGCATGGAAAACTGTGTCGGGAGTCTATGTAATGCTTCCTATGTCTTAACTAAAAAATAATTCTCTCCAAAATGGTCCATCTCTTCCCAACTTGTAGGAGATGAAAGATAATCTGTATATGATGTGATGCTTGGGTCATCGGGGTTAAGGATACAGGAACTTGGGAAGGCCGTACTACCGCCGGCTTGTCCTCCGAAGCTCGCCAAAGGATCAGGTGAAGCTTCGGTATTAGGCTGAGAGAGATCAGAACAAGCAATCTCTGTTAGAAAAGACGAGTAATCATCAGAGTACTCAAACAACTCTTTCAATGATCGAGTGGTATGCTCTCCAGATCCAATCTGACTTTCAGTCAACATCTCACGTACATGAGCATCATGCTGAACAGATTCGCGTTTCACCTGCTCAACGCTACACCTTCCTTCTTGAGGCGAAGCGAACCGATGGAGGAAATTATGCCTTCCTTACATCTCTTGACATTAACAAAGACTTCACTCAGCCTGGGTCTCGTTGGCCATTGAATGTCACTGGCTACATCGAATATGACCAAACGAAAATTTTGCCTGTCCCACTCGTTGTGGACGATTGGGATCCGTTGGATGATTTCATCTTAGTGGTAAGCACCAATTTTTTATTTTATTTTAATATATATATATATATGTATATATGTATAGAATATTCATTCTGAACCTTGAACTAAACTCCAACAGCCGTATGACAATCAGAAACTGCTTCCTGTCCCGGATCAGCAAATCACCTTAGACTTCCATTTTGGTTCTGATGACCTCGGCATCCCTCGGTAAGGGTCTCCCATGTGTATTGTATAGTCACTTAAGCTAACCTCAATAGGGCATACATGAATGACACTTACATTTCTCAAAAGGTTCCTACTCTTTACAGTGTCTTGGCAGTTGGAAAAGACGCGGACAATCCTGTTGTATATGGTCAAGTCAATCCACTTGTCGTTCAATACGGCCAGACAGTGGAGATTGTATTGAACAACCTAGATGATGCAATTCACCCATTCCATCTTCATGGTCACCAGTTTCAAGTATGTGATAGACCAGGCTCTGGAGCTGGATCATTTGGTGGAGACAATAGAGCCTTCCCGTCGGTACCGATGAGACGCGACACCGTTAGCGTTAACGGCAATAGCTATGTTATCTTGAGATTCACAGCCGACAACCCTGGAGTTTGGCTCTTCCACTGCCACATCGAATGGCACGTCAGCATGGGTCTAGTTGCGACGGTCATCGAAGCTCCTGCTATGCTCCAGAGGGCCATCACTATCCCTCAGCAACACTTGGACATCTGTATTGCCCAATGTGTGCCGACAGCGGGAAATGCAGCAGGAAATACTGTAAACCATACTGATTTGGCCGGCGCGAACACAGCTTCTCCGAACCCGGACAATGGGTAAGTAGGAATATTACCAGGCAAAAGGTTCATGCTGACCAGCATCCAGTGCTCTTGTCAACATATCCGCCTGCTCAAACTCCGCCTCTATCGCCACGCCCTCTGCGGTCTCCTCTCCAGAATGCTCCCATCCGGCCGTCAGCCACACTTACCGAGCTGGCACCACTTCAATCGCTACCGAAAGCTCCCGCGGAGGCTTCTCTGTCTACCAAGTGACCGAATCCGAATCGGAGTCCACTCTGGCTCATGTGGCTCCTCCCACTGTGTCTAGTAGCATCCACACCTCAACGGTACATATCAAGTCAATCCACACCAGGACCCACCAACACGGCGACCTCGATAGAGTCTCCACAACAGTGACCACCAAGTACTCCACAGTCTGCCCTGACTCGGAGCCCACCAGCATCCCGGCTAATGCGGCACACCTATCAGAATAGTTGCTCCTTAACCTACAGGAAATCCCTTCCAGCCCGCAAAGAACGACGATGGTGTCTGAACTGGCATCATGTCAAACCCGTCCCAGCCAACTACTTCCAACGCTGAGTTTAGGCTTCGACAGAAGCTGGTTGGGAGGACTCGTGGGCAGTTTCTCTTATGTGACTGGTGGCGTAGGACGGTCCCTGCCTGGTACGAGTGGACTGTTTCATTTGCAAGATATGGGGTTTAATTTCGATTCTTTCATACGGTAGCATGAGTTCACGTACCAGTACGAGTTCATATGTTAGCACACTTTAGCCGCCGCACTAACTGTCATCTCATCACCTCTGTTATCAGAATTACTATTACCTTTCAGCTTCTATAAGATATTCATCGATAAACAGGATAAAAGAAGGTAGGTGCTCCGAGGACCGGCCCCAAAACAACAATGTGATGCCAATCCTTTCCCTTTCAAGAGAGATTTCCTATTTGATAAGTAGTCAGAGTGGCTCATTTCTCCCCTCCTCTACTTTATCCTCTGGTCTATAAGTCTCTACCTCAGACCCCGCTTCCTTCGTCTTTTTATCCCTTTGCTGTTCTGTGGTGCTGGAAGTTGGATTTGAGGCAGAGCTCACGGTTTGAGAGCTTTGAGAGATTGATGAGGAGCAGGCAGAGACAGAGTCTTTGGGTTTCTGCTTCGGTTCCGCGGCTTTCCGAACGGCGGATAGTTCGTCGGGTGATACGCCCAGGGCGGTGGAGACGAAGAGGTTGAGGAAGGACACTGTTTTCCGATTCTGTGGTAGAGCTTAGTTTTCAGCTGGGAAGAGAAGGAAGATATGATCGAGTTTGCATGCGGATCTTGGGAGATAGTGTGAGATTTACCCCTGATATTCAACACACCAGATATGAAAAATCTTGAAGAAATCGAATCCGAGAAACCCCAAATTACTGATAACAAAGAACAACGACGAAAATAGAAACACAAGTGTAGTTGTTCTCGTTCCTTCAGCCCTCAAAATTCTAAGACAATGGCGGGGTAAGATTGCCCCGCGTCAGGTGATGCAGTAGATCAAAGTAAATAAAGACCTGTACTTAACCTTCCTTTCCCTCACTTCAATAGACTTGAGCAAATCCATATACCATAAAACGTTATAGCAGGCAAAAAGCATTATTTGATTAGAGACCCTTATTAATCAGTAACTGCAGCTGTGTTATGACTATTGCGGCTTAGCCGTTTTAGGAAAGAGTGGTTCACTGAGAAATCACGTCGCCCTGTCTTTTGGAGAGAGTGTTACCTAAGTTGAGCGCCGAAGTCTCAAGAATCCAGAAAACTTACTTTAAGGACGGTGATTATCTTTACGGGTAAGTTAGACCATACTCGGATTCAAGTGTGTTTTCAGCAGTTTCCACGACACAACCAATCAGCTCGCTTACCGAGTTTGGAGGGAGGCATGCAAGCAAGAAAAAGCTGCGAACGAGCTTCTATCGTATATGACCGGTCCGATTGCTCTTTCCGATGACGAAACTAAAATTCGAAAATCCCAAAAGAAAAACGCAAACTCAAACTCAAAATCAAGCCATTCAACACGACCCATAAAAAGAAAGCTGCTCAAGTCAACAAGACGCCATAATTGCTACTAATATTGTCTCGACACATCCGCGGTGCAGTAGGCGGCACTCGTAACCATCCCATTGGCCAATCAAAGACCTAGAATTTAGGCTTGGCGAGGCGGCCGCCCTCAAACAAATTATCCAGGGCACTCTAACAACCCTCAAAAAGAGGTAATTATTATATATAACTCACTCCAAAATCAATAATAAATCATACATCAACTTATCAGCAACTGATTAAATTATTTCTAACTGAACGGCTGGCCTGAAATTTCTACTGAACTGAGTGGCTGATGCAGGAGAGTGCAGCTTATATGATTGGCTTAACTCGACTGACTTGATGGCCACCCCTGCTGCTTCCGGTGCTTAGCATCAATGACAGCTTCTGCGCCGGCGTCCCAACCTCAACAGAGGCAAAGTATGCGCCCCGAGACTTATTGTTGGATAGTACCTCCAATATATTAGAGCGCTGAGAGATGCCTCGGGGTAATGGCTGATCATTCCCAGGTAAGGCTCTGGAGACAGGGTATGAAATGACTTTCGCGGCTAAGCCACAGCCGACCAAGTAAACAAGGCTGTAAGAGAGAAGCCAAACAATCGACTTTGTGGCCATCTTGAAACGATTCTATCGCTGCGCACAAAATTGAGGTTTCACAAAGTAGCATCGACTCAGGAAGGAAGTCTTCCGGAATGGGGTCGCGGGGTATAAAGCAAATTTGTGACGGAAAGAAGCCACAGAAATCCTTCACGACCTCGAGGCTCAGCCCAATCTTTAATCCTACGGACCACTGTTGTTTTTCCCTGAAGGATTCGCTCAATACAGTCAAGGGTAGTCCGAAGAGATTGTTGGCAAGGCTACGGCTGAGAATTCGACAAATGATATTCCCTCGAGAACGCCAACATAAGCGCCACAACTTGGCACCCACCCACTGCAAACTGTTCATGGCCCATACAGTTTTGGGGAAACGCGTGTCGATCTTCAGGAGTTGATCCAGTGGTCGACTATGCCGTACGCCCCCAATCCGTGTTAGGAAAGATAATCACGTTGCAACTTGTTGATATAATAATAGTGCCCTAGATTTCGTTGCTCCTATCTTGACTTGATATCAATTGGTTACTTCAATCTTGATCCGGCTCGATGACTTGTACGTGAGTCTCGTGTCCTTCAAGTGGGTTTTGCACAATTCTTGCGTTCGAAAATGCCAATTCAGCTCCCGAACACCATGACCCCTCGCCCTTTACGTACTGCTCAAGCCTTCTGGACATTTCGCCTGGATCTTGGCATCGTTCCTCCACGTAAAGCGTCTCTTCTTTCGAGTCCCAATTGAACATTTCAAAATTCTCTAGTCTGAGAGAATCTCGAAGCGCTGTAATGAAATCTTTGAACGAATCTTCCGTGTGGACACACAGAGCCGTGCTAGAGAGACGTAGTTCTCTAAGTGTAGCATTGTGTCTGATCAGGAATGAGAGCAAGACGTCTGGTGGAGCACCGATCTTTTCCAGTTTGAATGTTCTCAGGCAAGGCAAGTAGATTCCAAAGATATGGTCGATGTAACCGGGTGTGGTGAATCTTGCCAGAGGGAATGATAGCTCCAAGGCACGGAGGTAATAAAGAGAACCGAGAAATTTCGACATCGCTCGACCAATGGATGGGCCGTCGTAATATCTGCCGTCACTGTGCCCGTCGATGGCAATCTGTAAATGCTGAAGTCGGTTGCATAGTTTGATCATCTCAGTCATCATGGATGTTTTCGCGCCTTCCATGGACGTGAGATTGCGCCGAATGAGTGCCTCGATCGGAAAAGGGTCGAAAACCAGCTTTGTGAGGGGTGGCAGGTAGGCTCGAGCCGCTAGCACAAGGTTTGGAAATCTAGCTGTTGATTCTTTATATCTAGGACGATGAGAGTTGAGATGAGAAGGGTCCTCGGCGGTTTCTATGATGTGCCGCCATGCGGGCCTGAGGGAGTCGCTTTGCGTGATAAAGCCAAAGGGAAACTTCCTGGAAGTGACGACGATGGAATTCACATGCGTGAAGCTCGGAAAAGCGGTAGCGAGAAGACCCTCAAGACAAAAGAGTCCAGAGCGATTGACTTCGAGGAAGCGCCAGACACACTGCAGCTCGGCAAGAGTATCTTCGTCTATTTCTACCCTGGGCTGATAGTCGAAATGATGGCAGTCGACCTCCGCTACAAAGATTTCGATTTCCTGGATACAAGCCGCAAGCCATGGACAACCCCCGATACCCGTAAGTCTGCGCATATCGTCGCGATATATTCGGAGAGTGAGACGGCCGTTGAAGAGACCTCGCCGGCCCATAACGGCAAAAGCTTTGGACATTAGCCTCAGGCTGGCGACGTCGCATGGAGGCAACAGTGAGATGATATTGCCTATCAACTCCACAGGCAAGCCTGAGAATTGAGCTTCAACTGATTCTTGCGAGAGAAACGCGCCCATGTTGATAAGTCAAGTTGATATTGATAAGGGAAGACATATTATGGCAACTCAGAATGCGAGACGTGAAGTGTCAGTGTGGCATGTGAAGTGTCAGTGTGGCATGTGAAGTGTCAATGTGGCATGTGAAGTGAGAACTGGCAGAATAACCCCCTTGCTTCCTGAGTATATTGCTTGCTATGGCTTTTTTTGTCTCGGTCTATATATAGATAATTGTATTGATTGGATGCTAGAATTCCTTTTGCAAGGCTCAGATCACTCGAACAGAAATATTCGAAAGGCAAACGGAAATCTGGGCATCAGAACGATAGCATAGCAGCCAGGATATTGTGTTTACAGTCCACTTTTTAAGCGAAGAGCGAAAACAGAAACAATTTACAATAATAAGTGGATTTGGTATCAAGACCTGCTCTTAATTATCATCGTACAAACTCATGCTTGCACGCTTGTCTAAGTAGAAAGGCTGACCATTCCGGCGTCGGCTCTATCCGTCCTAGCTCCCGCCTCATCTGGGGAATCACTGCGCATAACTTACCTACTTATGTCATTCGCATTCGCATTCGCATCCTAATAAACTAATTGTCAATTTTTGGGATCCAGAACTTACAAAGTCTCGCATACTAATCACTCTTCTCTTCTCTCAAGAGGTTTGGCATTGATACCTCATAAACTGATTCTCCTCTAAACTTCACAGCCTTCCCTCGTTTCAAACTTTCTCCACCAACCAGGACCTCAAACAGCTTCCTTCCTTCCTTCCCCAACCAAATTCAATCAAAAATGCTCCCACCCTGGATGTGCAACTATCCCTACCAATCCACATCTTCAACACCGCACCTCACACCACCATCCATCTGGAAAGCCAACAAGCACGCACTACCATCCGTCGTCGCTCCCCAGGCTCTGTATACAGGGCATTTGGACCCAAATTGCCCTACAGCGCTTATTTATAGGGACTGAGCCCGCTATAAGGCCCTAAAATCTTCGGCGTCGTGCCCTGAAAGCACCCTATGAGACATTCGCAAGGTTGTTGGCGATCTTCAGGGGTATTAGTGCTGCTGGCAGAGTAACCATAGCGCTCTGACCCTGAATAGACGGCCTTTATAGGCCTCATTAGCGAGTGAGCCCTTGTAATTACAGGAGATAAGCCCGGAAAAGGTGTGGCACCCCTTGTTAAAGCTTATAGCGTATTTTTAGGGCAGGCCGCTAAAAGTAGAGGGCCTTACAGAGGGGCCAACGGCCTGAAAAGAGTGCTATAGGGGACTTTCCCCACAAATGCCCTGTATTCCCGTCACTTTATGCCGCGACCTCCGTATGTTTACCTGTCCCTAATTCCCACACTTCTCCCTCGCCTAAGAGTATATCCTCGATTACTCAATCCACGCGCATGAAGGCAGCTCCCTGGGTATGTTGCAACGCCCGGATCGCGTGAATACAGCCCCCTGAGCAAAGTTACAGCTCCCTGGGCAGTTATAGCTCTTAGGACACGTGAATATAGCTTTATATAATAGAAATATAAGCTTTAGAACGCTCATAATCAGCTAGAGTGCTTGTTTGTGATATCAAAAGCCGTTCACCAGCCAGACCAGTTGCAATATATCGCGGTAGGGAGTGGCTGAGTTGATGGAGGAGTAAGATGGAGGGGCAGAGAGACTCTGAGAGGGAGGAACCGAAGAGGATCGCGAGGCCCGAAATCTAAATCTGTCCTATCGTTGGTTTAGACTTTTGAAACTACTTCGTATATAGAATTATCTTTCGACAATCACTATAGAGCAGTACAATGCTATTTGAGTACCACTTCTTATCGTAAAGAGGAATTGAGTAATTAATTAATAGATTAACATCATGTATACGGTGAAGTTGAATTGATGAAGTTCGCTAAAGTTGCAGCTCCGGCTGACATGGATCTAGAATTGTCTCTGCAAGAATCCATGACCGACTTTTACAGCTTTAGGAAGTGGCAGGTGTAGCCGAGGAGCCGAAAAGGGACACCCCAGGGCAGGGATGGGGGCCGCGAAGCCTCAACAAACCATTTCAGCCCAATTCCTCAGCTGAAAATGCGGTGTCTCCCAACATCCAAAAATAGGTTCTAGTGCACAAAGTTATCTGCTGATAAGGCTCAACGTCCTTCGCAATCAGTCATGCAGGGCAACACAAGCTAGTCTCCTCGATTTTCGTCAAAAATTCAGTGAGGGACAGTACCGCCGTGTAGTTTCTAGGACGCCATCCAGCTGCCGAAGACGGAATAACTCAAATATCTCACACTTTTGGATCCGAAGCCAACTGGCAGCTATGTCTTCGCCTTCAAGAGAATCGAGTCCTGTTAGTAGGTCATTTCTGCGGCCCAACTCGGAAATTCGAGTGGGAAATTAATTTCCAGCAGGTACTTCCGAACCAGAGCAGAATAGCAAGGAATGTCGCGAGAAATCTATCACTTATTGGAGAGGGGAAGTTGAACGACAACAAGCGTCTCAAACTTTGACGGAGGGTAACAAATTGCTGGAGGCCAAGCTGTGGCTTGGGCGAGCATACTTCAGAAATGAGCAGTTCGACGATGCAGAATCCATTCTTCAAGATGTTCGAGGACAGATGTTGAAGCTTTGGGGCTGGGCAGACCGCTACTCTCTCATCTGTGTAACTCTCCTGGGAAAGATATTTCTGTCGAATGATAGGCTGAACGAGGCATGTCGCCTCTATGAGGAAGCACTGACTGGAGTCCGTCATTCTCTAGGCTCGGAACATCCTTGGACGTCTCAACTACAAAACAACATTGCTTGCTTCTTCATCCACAAAAAGGATTTACCCGCCGCTGAAACCTTGCTTCGCAAGTCTTTGAGGGCGAAGTCAACCGTTTTCGGCCCCAATCATGGGAATACATTAAAAACTAAGTGTAATTTGGCACTGGTATCGTATCTCCAAAACAAAGAAACGAACGAGTTGGAATTAGTACTCCCCTCAGCTCTCAACTCCATAAAAGAACAATGGGGCAAGGAGAACAGAGATACTAGGGCGATTGTTAGACAACTCATCAGTCTATATCTTGAGACCGGCAATAGGGAAGGGGGCAATCAGTTGTGTGATGAATTCAACATAGAGGGTAAGTAAATCATTTCTATTGCTATCTATTGAGAGGATGCTCTACATTCATCATATGATATGAGTCCTAGAAGGTATCAAATGTTGGCAAATACTGTAGTCTGACGGGATCTAGCATCCACTGCTACCAAGGTTCTTGTTACACACTACGATAATTACATCCCTACGGCACGCACTATTTGTACCTTGCGCGAAGAGGATCCGTTCCTTGAGCTAAGCAAACTCTTATCAACACTGGGTCCACAGTATTCAGAGAAAGCAGCTACCGCTCTCAATTGGACTCGTGAAAAGATCATGAAATGGACTGAGATGAGCGTTTCAGAGTTCGCCGACCTAGTTGGACTCCCCGAAGTACTAGGAATCACTCTGGGATGCTTAACAGATGCCAAAGAGCTGTTAAGAGAGGCTGCTATACTTGGCCATGAAGAAACAGTTATCGCCCTTCTCGAGAAAATGAGCAAGGTCAAAGGCGAGCATGACGTGAAGCAGGATATAATCGAGGCCCTTCATTATGGCTGCTTCTACGGGAACGAGTGGGTGGTCGGGAATTGTTTGGCTTATGTTCCTGTTGATGCTGCGGATATTGATGGGCAAACCGGCTTACACAAAGCAGCCTGCCAAAGAAATTACTCGGTTGCAGCTGCACTTCTTGAGTTCGGTGCTGATCTCGACAAACGAGACAAGTGGGGGAACACACCACTCGATACTGCCATTCATAGGCATTACCCAGAGACGATCAGATTATTCATGACTCACCGAGGTGCTTTAGTCGCAAGCTCAAGGCCAACTGTCGAGGTGCCTCTTACAGGAATTTCCTCTCTCAAGGACCTGAAAGTTGACAAACATATTGGAATGAATGCCACTATTGTGGATTTCTATATTGAGACCAACATAGATGGAGACACAGTGGAAGAGCATCGACTGGAGCAGAAACCAGTTGAAGCGCTTATTTGGGATGAAGAAATTGGCTCTGATGCATCAAACGACATGACATCCGGAGAAGCTTCCCCAGACCCAGATTTCAAATGGATACATCTCCCAGCGAACAATGTGAGAAACCGTCCTGCATATATATATATCGGAACCAACTGACTTGATTAGATGCTGTGGGTGGAGGTGAGCATGACAACTGGGGACCGCAAACATAAAATTGACTGACACATCCTGCAAGGCACTCATGGCGAAGATGTATTCCGGTCCTAAAGAAGATTTTTCGGCACAGAATTTGCTGAAAAGAGAACTGTGGGACGATAAGTTGCATGAATCAAAGCTCTCAGCAGTGCACGGTCGCTTCATGAAGCCATCATGCCGCGCGATCACAAAAGGTTTGCATGAACACCCACCAGATGAATGTTTTTTTTAGTATACTGACGTCATAATATATAGATAGTGAGAAAACTAAGCTCATACTTTTTGTAGGTGTTATCTTCTACTAAGAGTGACTCACTAATAATACCTCCCTTAGATGCCTTATCTGCACTGGGAACTGGAGGATGCTAGAAAAGAAATGTCCAGTGTTATTAAAGAGCTTCAAAAATCCAATGAAGAAACATTGGATAACCTTATTATTCCATTTGGAAGAGAATATTTCAGCGAATTACTTAAGCCCATGGGAAAAGGAGAAGGGGATAAAGAAAAGCAACCAGGAACGCAAGCCACAAAAGATACCGAACCAGATGTTTCGCTCCTCGAAGAGTTCCTATTCCGACAGCCACCATTACATATTCGACGAACCCTAGATCAGTTCTACTACTATATGACCCAGGACACGGATATTCGAGATGCCGATCAGGTTATATCGCGTTACTGCCGACGGAAATATCCCAAAGACCCGGTTCCAATTGTGATGATTGATCAATTGTGGCTGTGGATAGTTGATAACAGTAAGTCCGGACACCGCTCGTTGGCCTTGCCGGAAAGTAACAGAAAGCCATTATGAAGAGACCGTTATTACAAGTTTCCCCCAGCGCTGGGGCAAGCATGCCGCCAGTACTGAGACAACAACTACAATCAACATGACGAATGTTTTAGACGACATCCTTCGTCACCTTGCTGAAAGTGTTAGAGAACCATTTAATTCAGCATTTGGATTATCAGAAACTATAATAGCTCGATGTTTAGGGTTGAGCTTTGATCCCGTGGAATGGTATTATGAGCAATATCTATATCTGGAGATCTTCGAATATTCGATCAACTACGTGGTAAGTGAATCGCAAATACTAAAAACGGGTTTCTAAATCTTCGTAGGCCGATGAAGAGACCAGATGTTTTAATCAGTTTGCGAACGGGGGGGAAAAACTAAGTGCGGAAGATGAGAAAAAGAAAAAGGAAAAGGAGAAGAAAGCAAGAAAGGAGAAGGCCAAGGAGAAAGCTAAGGGGAAAGCCGAAAAAAAAGCAGCGAAAATGAAGAAAAAACCAGAAGGAATGATATCGAGCAAGAGGCTTCCAAGGAGCAGCCAGAGACTTCGAAGCCCGACGGGACCATAAAGCCATCGACGCCAACGGCCCTTGGCGAGGAACTAGAACTTATCTTCGACATCTCACAAGAGACAGAATTGCTCAAAGAAATCAAGGATATTCGAGACGAATTGAATATTTTGAGGAGTCTCTATGGCCAGCAGATGGGTGTAATTGAGTCGTTTGTCAAAGCGATTGAGGCTGGCCAAAAGAATCTTGGGATTCCCGTGTCAAAGGCAAATCTCATGAATGCATTAGTTCGGCATATCGACCTAGTTAATGCCATGGACGAGGCCGCAAAACGCCCTTACAAAGCTGTAAGCATACTTCACATAACTGTTCGCAGTCCGACTGACTATTTTATAGTTAGAGGATCTTTTAGATCTCAAGCAAAAGCAAGCCAATGTATCGGAGGCACGGACAGCTCGAATCTCAGGCAACACAATCACAGTTTTCACAATTGTCACCATTATATTTCTCCCTGCATCTTTCATGACAGCCTTCTTAGCGCTACCTATAGCTGAATTTTCCAAATCAAACTCGAACTTTGAACTTGCCTATGCAATCAAATATATAAGTATGTAATCATTCCAAACTCGGCTTTTATGGTTTGCTAACAGTAAAAGTGATAATTACTGCTGCATTGGCAGTACCGTTTGTTATACTGGCTCTATATGTCAACCCTCTCCTCCGTTTCTTCAAAGCTTTTGTTGGTTCCTTTAGAAAGATTTCTGAAAGGTGGTCATCATCAACGGTTGTACGCCCCATACTCAAGAGAGTCCCCGCTCTGGCCATGGTATTCATCTGGACGCCTATACTATTTATTTATTGCATTATTCTCCTGGGGTATGCGGCCTGTTCATTCCTTTTTAATTGGAAAAGGCTCTTTCGTTGGTTTAAAGAACACAGACAGACGAAGAAAACGCCAAAGGCGGATGGGACGGAGGGAAGCAAAAGGCGTTTTGTTGTCGGCAAAATAATAGCCTCGATAGCTCAACATAGAGCAGAAAAGGCAAGAAACGCCGAGGAACATGCGGATGGAGCAGAGCTAGGAGGTGCCCCTGTTCAATCTGTCGAACCAGATATACCTTCGTAGCGCGATCGCGAAGGAATGACCATTGGTGCTTATCGCAGGCACAGAAGCCAAGGCAGGAGCGCTATGAGACTATACAACAGATACTGTTGCTACGGTTGTTGTTAGGTCGTACTGTTGCATAAGAAGTATATTGAATTCATTAATATCGAGCGTTTGGTTTTTTCGGCACGCAGGGATGGACATTACTCTACCAATTCAACTTTCCGTGTACGATCTCTTTTGCAATGTCCCAGTACCAATTTTCCCCGCCCCGAGTCTGCCAGTCACCGTATTCCTCAGGATTATCCATATTCACAGTCTTCCTAATAGCGTGTATTTCGGATAACTAGTTGTGATTATCGCCGTGTAGGGCAGGAGTATGTTCACCGGTGAAGTTAACGTTCGATTGCACATTGGGAGCGTAGTTCGAAGGACACAGGGCCAGTCTATAGGGAATTAGTCTATCATTACCTTAGTATCTGGCGGCTTTATTATATGCTTGGAGTTATACCTTGTGAGATCTTGTACGTTGTCTTGGAGCAACGGGTAGGAGATTCAACCAAGCTGGCTGTTGAAGTGTGCCTGGCAGCCTGAGGCTGCTTAGCACTTGTTTCAAACACGTCTCACTAGTAATAGTCGGACTTGACGTCGCGCTAAAGGGGCCCTTCCCTTTAGTCGGGGAAAGCGAGTTGTCCCGGGAAAGCGAGATGTCCCGCACCGGCCTTTTTTGCCTTCTAAAAAATAATATTAGGAACTAGCTATGGAAAATCTAATTAATACGTTTTATTCGCGATCTTATAGTTACCTATCGCATATTTAAGGGCTAAAGTCTTAAGTAAAAGAATAAAAAATTATAATTAAGCAAAAGTTACAGGTTTAATACTTGCGAAACGGTTACGAATAAATAATTCTTATGCTTTTTGTATTTCACGCTATTTAATACTAAAACCTTAATAACTCTCTACCTATACTATTTTTTAAGATTTAGAGAATTATATCTGGTTTATAAGGCTTATATTTTTAATTCTATTACTTAGAATTATTTAAAAAGATTAAGGTTTCAAGTTATTAAGGATTTTATTCGGTACGGGACATCTCGCTTTCCCGGGACAACTCGCTTTCCCCGACTAAAGGGAAGGGCCCCTTTAGCGCGACGTCAAGTCCGACTATTAGTCCTCTTCTATATTGTCCTACGTTCGGACCACCCTAAGCGGTTGGCTCTCGGGGCTCCTTGAAAAAAACTTTCACGTGACGAACACCAAAGTCTCCCCGTTCTAGGGAATCGCGTATCGGAATGCGATTGCGTCCAAATCCTTAGCGCTCAGCTAGGGATTAGAGAGAAGAAGCTCAAGTATCTTTCTCTATATTTGAGTGGTTCTGGAATGCGAGAGGCTTTTATTACGATTTTTTAAAGCTTAGGGGATATTTCTTAAGGCTCTCGCTAGCTCCAAGTGTACTAAAAAGAAACCTGGCCTTACGTTACTCTCCTCTCCTTCTTCTCTTTATTACTCTCTCTTTTACTTCCTTTTAATAATGGATAATTCCAAGACCTGCTTATTATATACTAGATACTTGCTACTTTTAGCCTTTCCTTACGGGCCTACAGGCGCTATCCGTAAGACCTGTATGGCCTGTACGGTCCGTATTCCTCTTCTTTATCCTTGATCCCTTTAACCAGTTTCTAGGAGCGGCGACGTGCCCGAACTGCTAATTAGTGCCCTGCCTTGCAAGAACTTAATCCAAATACCCTCCCTACCTCCCGGCAACGATAACGGTCGGTTACGGACGTCTCTGCAGACGAGCCAGCCCCGCGGCGCTAGCGACGGATCCGTTAACCGTCCGTTGCGGCCCCAGTTTATACCGTAGAGGACCCTCCTGCCGACCTACCTACTATACGGCCTCTTGCCTTCCTTTCCTGCTTCCGGCCAGCTCCCGTATATACGACTGGTCTGCTTACGGATTACTATATAGCTTGTAAAGCCCTCTATTTTGGCTATATAGATAATCGCTTTGAGGCCTGTTATAAGAAGGATAACGTAATATTTCCTCTAATCCGTAAGCCTCCTCTATACCTCTCTTATCTCTTTATAGGCAATAATCCGCTCTACCGGGCCTTCCGGGCAAATATCCGGGTATATAATTATATTTTTGCCTTTATATTAGTTAAGTATAAGAAGGATATACAAATCGACTTCTCCTATAAAATCTAGTACTTTCAGATCTATAGTAAGCTCTTCTATTTCTAAGGCCTGCTATAGCCCGCTTTATATACCAAACCCTCCTTTATATAGCTCTTCTTTTATAATCTGCTCTTTATAACTAATATACGGACTACTAACTTTTCTTACTTAGATTATATGGTTCTTTTATAGCTTACGGATATACTTACGGATTATAATCCGTTTATTATAGTCTATAAAACAGCCTATAAGTATCTTATAAGCTAGTAAACCGATTTCCGGATCTTATTTAATCTGCAAATATACTTAATTCTTAAATCAGGTACTAATTATTATTATAAGAACCTCCTAATAAGTAATAAGGTTATAGCCCTTATTCCGGACAAGTATACAAATATAAGCTACTATAATCTGGTATTTACGGTCCGTAAAACAGGCCGTAAGTATCTATAAATATATATAATTAATATTATATATATAATATATATATTACTTTACTATATCTTATTCTTCCTATATAGTAATCCGGGCTAGTACTACGGTTTATAGTTATAGAACCGTAATAGAACCCGTTAATAGATATGGCTCGAATAGCAGGTCTTTTACTAGTATTATTTCTATATCTATCTAGCCTTTTCCCTATTTTTTTATACTAGCCGCCTCTTTTAGTAATATATTATTAATATATATATTACCTATAAGATTACCTTACTTGACTGGCTCTACTTATACTAGTAGAATATCTGTACGGATATCTATATAGGACTTATAGATACTCTAATCTATAAGGATATCTATATAAGTAATATTAGCTATTACTTTATCCTTCCATTAAGCTTTATAGATAGTAATTACTTTATATAATAGCTCTTTTAAGACTTAATAGCTATTATATAATACTTTAGTAAACCAAGCTTCTTTATTACCTTTATAGCTAATTTATACTAGCCTAAGATTATAGATTACCTCTTAAATAGATAGTAAGTAATTAACCGTCCGGATCTTCTTTACTAGGTCTTTATTCTAAAAGTAAGAGAGCTTTTTATAGATCTTAAGAACTACCTTTTCGGATAGTATATGGGCCATATCTATATAATTAAATACTAGAAATATAGCCTTCTATATATATATTTACTCTTATTCCTTAAGAGGAATACCGTTTTCTTAACTCCTGATTTGGTTAATAAGATTATTTATACCGAGCTCCCAGACCTATTATAGGATTCTATAGGTAAACTTATAGCTATAGTTACTAGCCAAATATCTTATAGGCCGTATAGCCTTAATAATAATCCGAAAGCCCTATATATAGTTCGTAAGATACCTATAGCTCTGCTTATATATTAGAAGAGATTCCCTAAAGTATTTATAGCTATAATAATTATTTATAAGAATAGATATTTCGAATACCAGTACCGGAATAATAGTTATATATTTATAGTCTATAAATCAGGCTTTCCAGACCAGGAAGTTATCCGTAATAACTACTAGATTATTCCGTATAACCTGTATCTTTTCTAGAAGTTCTATTTATATATTAATATTGAGGTTTATATATTTATATAAGTAATTAAATATATTTATAAATATATTTATAAGAGAACAGACCGTATAACTATTACTATTTCGGGAATAGATAATAAGATTACCTAGTATTTCCAGGCTCGGTATATAGGCCCTATAGAAGCTTTCTGGTACCTATTCAAATACCTAATATACCAGGAGTTTCCTTCGTTTAATATTTCATAATTCACCTCCCTGAATAGTATATAGTCTACTTTACAGCCGACCTCTTACCCGAGCAGATTATAGACCGGGCCACAAATACCTACTTAATCTTAATAGCCTTTTTTAAGTATAATATAATATATAAAAACGGATACTAGTACCTATATTACAAGTTCCTATAGTACTTTATATAGGTTACTAAAACCCGGATATAGAAATACTATAAGCAAAAGTATAGTATTGGCTATATTTACTACTATAGCCCAGTTTTAAACAAGCGGTTCTACTTATAGCTTTTACTAACAGTTATATATAGTCTATAGTCTTTTAATAAGCTTTACTTAATTAAGAGTATCCGTTATCCTATATACTATACTACCTGTATTATCTGCGGCTTAGTAGAGAATAATCAGGAGTAGTTCTAGTATTTTAATAAGGCTATTTTATTAATAACCGGCTATAGTTTACAAATATTCTTTCTTATAGATATTTACTAATAGCTAATTACGGATATACAAGTGATCTGGAACCGGTATAAAGAGTATTTCTATAATAACTTGGCCTATAAACTCGCCTATAACCCGTTAATTAACTTCCTATTACCCTTAGTTAATCCTTACTATAATTATAGCCTCTTCTTATTTGATTTTGGCCTTATAAATCTCTAGTAGATACTTATAGATATTACCCTACCTAAAAATACCTTTAACTAGACCGTAAGTTACTATATAGCTAATCTATAGATCGATTATACCCGTAAGATATTACTAGTAATTATAATATAAGCCTAGCTAAATATAAACTAGTACTCTTATTTCCAGATAATTATAATAGTAATTACAGACAATTTATAAATGGCTTACTTCTACTTATAGGGCCCGGATAGAACTAATAAGACATTTCTTTATAAGACCCTCTACTACTATTACTATAGCCAAAATAAGGTAATTCTATATATAGTATTAATAGGTATTATAGCTCTCTTTCTCCCGGACAAATATATATTTTGCTTCTAGTTCCGGATTCTATTTAAGCTTAATAAGTTATCTATAAGTATAATTACTAAAATAAGCCGGTTCAAAATACTTTTGTAATCTATAGACCTGATTATCTGGAATAAGGTACCTATATAATACAAGTACTACTTTAAGGTAGTATACCGGCTAATAGTTAATTTATAATTAGTTATAGATAATATTCTTTTTAGAAGAGTACCTATAATCCTTAGGAGGAACTTTACCCAGATCTTACTAGTAGTCCTATATGGTTTGCAGGCTAATATGGTATAGGCCTGCCTATAGCAGATATA